CTACCCACTCCGGCTACTGTGTCCTATTTCTCTCTCTCTCTCTCTCTTCTTTTTTTTTTTTTGACACACACAACTGTCACACCGAAGCCTGGCCAGTCATGAAACTGGTTTTTAAAGCCTCTCTGATGCGCAGCGCGCCCTGCTGTGCTCTTCTAATTGCCCTGGTGTCTGGCTGCTCAAAATCGGAGGCCAAGTGATTTGCCTCAACCTCCCACCCCGCCATAAATGTCTCCCCCTTACTCTCACAGATATTATGGAGCACACAGCAAGCAGCAATAACAATGGGAATGTTGGTTGCACTGAGGTCTGACCAACAGCGCCAGTGAGCTTTTAAACATCCAAAGACACAATCTACCACCATTCTGCACTTGCTCAGCCTATAGTTGAACTGCTCCTCACTACTGTCCAGGCTTCATGAATGGATCCCCTGAGCTCCTCACTGGGAGCAGGAGAGCAGAGTTGCAGAAGAAGTGATGGAGCCGTACACCATGCCCTGGAGGTTGCTAGGAACCAAGCAGGGAAGACGTTCCCAGAACTTCTGGCCAAGCTACATGTCCGATGAGATGGTTACCAGTCGTACTGCACCGTCTGCTGCCAGCAGCACCCAGGAGGACCAGTACGGATCCCCTGAGCTAATTGCTGGAGAGCAGGAGAGCAGAGTTGCAGTGGAATCGGTGGAGGACGGCAGTTAGCAGTCCTACTGCACCGTCTGCTGCAAAGGCAAGGAGCTGCTGCTGTGTAGCAATGCCAGCTGCTGCAGGTGCTTCTGTGTCGAATGCTTGGAGGTCCAGGTAGGGCAAGGTACCTTGGCCAAGGCAAAAGAGCAAGAGTCCTGGAGCTGTTACATGTGTCAACCATAGAAGTGCTATGGGGTGTTACAGTGCCGACCAGACTGGAATGTACGGCTGCAAGACTTCTTCATCAGTGACAAAGGACAAGAATATGATGCACATTTCCCAGAGTCACTACCCTTGATAACAGAATGTCAATGATTGCATTGACTACTTGGATCACAGCAACCTCCAGAGTAGGCTTCCCACAACAGCAGCGGTGAGCTGAGCGGGCTCCATGCTTGCTGTGGTATGGCATCTGCACAGGTAACACAGGAAAAAAGGCGCGAAACAATTGTCTGCCGTTGCTTTCACAGAAGGAGGGGCAACTGATGACATGTACCCAAAACCACCTGTGACAATGTTTTTGCCCCATCAGGCATTGGGAGCTTAACCCAGAATTCCAATGGGCGGAGGAGACTGCGGGAACTGTGGGATAGCTACCCACAGTGTACCGCTCCGTAAGTCGATGCTAGCCACGGTAGTGAGGATGCACTCCGCCAACTTAATGCGCTTAGTGTGGACATAAGCAATCGACTGTATAAAATTGATTTCTAAAAATCGACTTCTATAAAATCTACCTAATTTCGTAGTGTAGACATACCCTGAGACAGGAGATGAGGAATGATCGAGAGCTTGATCAACAGCTGGACACAGAGTTGAAGGAGGTAATGGTACCAAGCTTGTCTCGACCAGGTAGGTACTGTGAAGATGACTGGTTTTGTCCTGTCTGATCTTGTTCAACATCCTTAGAATTATGGGGTTGGAGGAAAGGCAACAGACTCTTCCAGGGTAGAAGGGAGGTGCCTCCCAGGGAGGGGTGACCTAAGCATGCCTTTGAACAGAAGACTTCTGTAGAGGAGCGGACTCATCCCTGCAGCGCCTCCTGCTGGTGACTTCCAGGAATTAGCTCGATTTCCAGCCCGGAGCACCCTCTGCAGGCCCGTGTCCCACTGCCAGTTGGCCCTTGTGTCCCTCCCTGGACTCCGGTGCCCTGTTAGCTGGGGTGCTGCCCCCTGGCAGTAACCCCTTTCTCTCAGGGTCTCCCCTTCTTGGGGAACCCCCACCCACTATCCCTACCTCGCCTCAGTATAAGGCTACTGCCAGTCATCGTCTAGCCCCACGCCTTGGGGCAGACTGCAGTATCAGCCTACTCATCACTGGCAAGGCTGGGTTTGGACCTGCTGCCTTGGCCTACCCCTGGCTTTTCCCTGCCACAGCCCTCTCCCTGGCTGTTTTAAGCCCTTCAGGGTAGGAGTGGGGTAACCTAT